TTCACCATCTGCATCCAGTTGTGAGTACGGTAGTAGCTCTATAATACTAATTAAAAAGTAAAGAAAAACGCTTTATGTATCTCATCTTTTGTACATCTTTATAACCTAAATCAAATGATACAGAAGTTTGAATATGTTATATGAAAACTATTTGAGTACACCTCTCCACATCGTTATAGTACATGTCGTCATGCCTGATCATGATCTACTTCACGACCGCACACCTTAACAATAATCCTACTGTATAACTTCCATTACAAAAGGTCTGTCATAAAGTTGTCGTGTCCAAAGCGCACCACTCCTCGATCCTGGTTTCCATTATCTAGTGTACGTGAAATATGGTTTCCAAGCACCCATTTAAATATTTCAATCACAAAAATCCGTAAATGCTGCAACCGACGATTTTACAGGTATGTCTTCGTATAGAATAATATGAATATCCGTGTCATTCTCCAGCTGCTTGAGATGTACAATGGTTGAATAGGAGATATGACTGGAAACTTGCAAGAGTGTAAGATTTTAACTGATTTACAGCAAAATTGTCATTTTTTTAATCAGGTGCTTGATTAAGCAAATTCTAAAGATTATTAAGATATGCTATTCAACTGGCAAAAAGTAATACTGGTGTTAATGTTTATGTTATTTTAGAAGTCTGTGTTAACGAAAACTTTCCTACAGCGAGAGGTAAGCGATTTCAAATCCCGTCTGTATTCATTACCACTTTATTTTTCTTTCTATAATTTTTCAGGTATAATTTGTACTTTATGACTCACAACCAGCGTTTTTACATTCTTTATGTAATTTCATAAAAGTATGTTAGCCGTCAAGAAATTCCAAGTGCCAATTTGGATTCTTTTCAAGGTTATCTCTTCTTGTATTCAGTTTATACTTTTTATATGTCTCACTGTTTTTATGAAAGAATATTCAAGGACAGACTATGTTTTATTTTTGAAATTATCCTTGTTTATATTTTCCTCTCTTTTTTTTAATATATACTCTCCTCAATTAATGATACAAGGTCAAGCAAATTATATACAGATATTATAGACGGATTTTTAAAATCAATTTACACGTACTCATGTCAAGGAAAATGGTGCTTCAGGTGCTTCGGTTTTTAGCGTTATTAGTCATCAGACTTATAGCTGAACCACAGGGGGAGGGACAGCTCTATTGTGTTTGATAACTTACGGATTAGAAGTTCTCTAAAGGGGACAAATTATCTTATATGTAAATACTCAGAAAGGCAGCCTTTCTCAAAAATGGGAATATATTACGGGAAACAGTAGACCTTTCTTTGGGAGGGGGAGGGGTATATCGATATTTCTTTATATAGATACTTTGTTTGTTTGAAATTAAGCACAAAGCTACACAAGGCTATCTGTGCTCTGCCCACCATGGGTATCGAAACCCGGTTTCTAGCGTTGTAAGCCAGCAGACATACAGCTGTGCCACTGGGGCTATATAGGTATTGCAGAGAGCAGTAGTCCTTCCTGAGGAAAATTTACCTTTCTGTACATAGACTTTGTAGGAAGTAGTAGTTTTATTTGGGTTAATCTAGCTTTTTTGTTACATAAATTGTGCATAGAACAATGGTCCTGTCTGGGGAATATCTAGCTTATTTTTATATATCTTGCACTAAAGAGTTGTTCCTTCTGAGAGATCTATCTTTCTTGCATGGATATTGTAGGGAGCAGTAGTCTTTATCTTATCTGAGGCATCACCCAACTTGCCAATGGAAAAGACCACTGTCAATTTCTATATATGTGTTTAAGTAAAAAACTACATAATGGGCTATTTGTGCTGTGCTCACCACGGGTATCGAAGCCCGGTTTTTAGCTTTGCACGAAGTTCTAGAGTTACGGCTCCCGAGTGGCTCAGCCGCATACACAATCTAAAAAAAGTCACAGTATCAAACTAACTATGTACTCAAACTCTATGAAACAATGCCTCACTTCATCAGACTCGGTGTAACTTAGTAATGGGGGCAAATAATCTCTAGCCTGACTCGTTTCTTATGTTGTTCAAATCGTTTCCTACACTTTCAAAAAAAGTTGTTGTCATTAAATCATGCCCATCACATGACTTTAAAATTCGCTCTAGCCAAACAATAGTACAAACGTCTAAATGTAAAAGAAAAAAAAAGCCTACTATAATTGGAAGATCTCTGACAGTCTGCCCTCACCTGTACTTAATATCATAATACAATTATTTGCATAAATATTAATCAAATCTCTTTGATGTATTACACTACACAATAACAAAAATTTTTCTCTGTTACTAGAAAAAAATGCAACTGCTTCTGAGTACTTTGATGATGCTGATTCTAAAAGTCATGTAGGAAATTACTCATTACCTCTAGTTTTCAAGATATGACAGATTTATTCAAAATATTCTAATATATATATAGTGAAAATAACCTTTTTAATAACTATTTATTCATGAAAATTGCATTTAAGAATGTATAATCTGCATGCTTTGATAAGTTTTTTCATGTTCACAGCATGAGCAACAGGAATCGATGGCTTAGTGTTTTCATTGTGCAAAAATACAGCATTCAGAGTAACTTTAGATGAATTAATAAAAGGTCTCCATTCTTGAGGATGGTGTTTAGTACCTAGTTCTTCCAGTAGGGCATCAGCATTTGTACAGAAACACAAAGTACCTTGCATGCTGCATTGAGAAGCATAAGTTTGATGACGACTTCGGTAAATTAAAAGTCTTGTTCCTGGAGCTAAGAAATTCTATTGCTGTAAATGAGAGCCAAGCAGTTCCCCGTGATACTCTAATAAAGGCAAGTCAGTTAATGTGCTTTTTATTTTGCCTGAATATATGTAAAAATTAGTCATGCAAAAATAACAGAACTGCAAATGGCATACTTGCTCTCTTCTTATTCAGCCACTATATGAAGCCAGATGTGCACTTTGTACAATACACATGCGTGTGATCTTTTTTCTTCGTGAAAATGTAATATATTTTCCATAAATGTTGCATAAATTGTTTTAGTGATTTTTCACTTTCGGACTGTACTTGAACTAAAGGCACCCAACATTTCAATTTATTTTCTAAAATAACATAAATAATTTATGTTTATAGTACTAGAACTTAAAATATTGTTGTGTATATGCTTGTTTGTTAATTTCCGGTATAAATACTTTCCGAGGAACTTCAGCGATACAATTCCTTTCTTAATTAAAACTAGTTTATTCTTTCTTGATACAACTTTGTAATGACAGAATTTCCA